ACTTATTTGATTTATTTATTTTTTCAAGACTAGTTAATTACATAGCCCCTTAATTATAATTACCTACATATCTCCAATAATAATTGATTATGCTATGATATTTTGCATATGAAATACCAATTAGTTATTAATAGATTAAAATAATTTATACTGCTTAAAATATTAATTATGTTAAATGTTTCAAAATAAGTTTTTATCTTTTTTCTGGTCACTTAGGTTATCTCTTATTATTATTTCATAGTCCAAGTTTTGCCTCATTGATACATTTTCTATCAATATGAACAGTAATACTGATGCGTAATTCAACTCTCAATTTAGTTTACCTATTTAATGTTAAATTCATATTATTCATAAATAATAAAATGGCATATTCTTTATTGATTAATGATGATGAATTCTGGTAAGACAGTTTTAGGATATGTACCAACAATTATGTCAAAAAAGAATTTTTTGTACAAATATTGATGAATTTAAATTGTATACATTAAATTTGATGTGTTTTTAATTATAGTTTACCGCCCAATAACATATCAGACAAATTAAGTGATACGGAGACAGTTGAAAGACACAAAACTATAATATTAACTGTTGTTTCACGAGCCGCTGAAGCAGCCAGTATAATACTTGACCAAACTGGTATAATCCAGGTGAATAGAATTTCTAGAATCATTGATGGCCAATATCAAAATATTATATATTATTATTTTAATAAGAGTTTTCTGATACATCTATGTGTAGAGTTATACATTTTTGTAAATTGACCATTAATTTATAATATCAAATTTCAAACCTCACATATGAGTTTATCTGAAAATCTGGAGTATTATATTAAATTTTAATTAAAAACATTTTAAYATCTTTTATTTTTAGAATTTGATTTAATTGCTTTTAGGTTGTAACAATTGGCCAAAACTATTTGCGTGTACTTTATGACTTAAATCAAACTAGTCCTGCATTATTTATTCAAGTATTAAAAAAAATGGGCTTTCTAGTGTCTTTTGAGCCAGAAAAACAAACTGAAGTCACCATACAAGTAGAAGGCATGAAATGTAACTCATGTGTAAAAAAAATTGAAGGCTGTGTTCGAGAAAAAAATGGCGTTTTTAGTGTTCAAGTAATATTTATATGTCTGTGTTTGCATAGTAAATTCTTTACATCCATGGATTTGTTGACATGTATAGGTGAATCTTGAACAAAAATGYGCTAATATTGTATACGATTCAAATGCTATATCAGTTTTTGAACTTCAATCAATAATTGCAGAGTTGGGTTTCACAGTGCCAATTCACCAAACTACATCTGTGATAAAAGTTGATGGAATGTCTTGCAAAAATTGTGTGCGGAACATTGAAAGTAATTTATTATTTTACAATTATATTTTAAAATTTTAAATTTACTTTGAATGAATGATTAATTAGGTAAAATTGGAGCGTTAAATGGAGTTGTGTCAGTGTCTGTTAGCTTAGAACAAAAAGAAGCAACTATAGTCCATCGCCCTGGGGACATAAATGATTCACAATTAGCATCAGCCATATCAAATTTGTCTACAAAATTTAAGGTTTCTTTAAAAAATCAAAAAATTGAAGCTCCAAATAATGTGTTTAGTATGTTTGTTCCTGAGGATGAATATAGTAAAACATACCTTAACATCAAAGGCATGACATGTGCATCTTGTGTTATTGCTATTGAAAAACACTGTCTTAAAATTAAAGGTACTATTTAATATTGAAATTTATAAGTTTTTTAGATTCTAAGCAGAGTAATGAATGTATTGATTTTATTTTACAATTATGTGTTTTATTATGTATGTATGTATGTATGTATATATATTGTGTGTGTGTGTGTGTATGAGATAAGTTGTCAAAATAATACTTTGATTTTCAACTTCAGTAGCTTTTCTGGTTGAAAGGAATACCTATCTAGTTTGGGCTTTAAACACTTCAAAATTACAACAAAAAWTTTTAAGAAAAATCAGTTTTTGAGTAAATAGATTTTAGATATTGATGTAACTTAAAAACAAGTTACCTTACAAAATGTTCACTGAATATTTGTACTGGAATTTTCTATAAATGTTAATAATATTTTATTCATTAAGTATAAAAGCTTCAAAATGAAAAACAATGTTCCCCATAAGTTGATATAATAGCAGTTTGAAAATATTAAAAATACATAACCATGTTTTTTTTACTACTGCTTAAAGTTCAAATTTTGATAAAATGTATTTAATTGAAAATTTCAAATTATTTAGTTGTTAAAAATTTATAAAACGTTTAACTATTATAGCTAAGGATTGAAAATTTAAAACAAGGTTCCACGTAAGTAGTTAATTCTATAACAAAAAAATCTATAAACTTCACGAACAAAGGTTTTTTTT